GGCACGGGGGGCCTGTCCTCCCCCGGCGCTGGTGCCTCCTGCCAGCCGGAGAAGAAGCCGGGGTGGGAGGCTCTCAGAACCCACACCCGTCCGTCAGCCGAAACGCTGCTTCTTGCAACGTGGGTGCGATCCTGGCACGTTTTTATCAGCAGGAATTGGCAGGGCAATGTTTATTTGTTTGAATGTGGAGAGCTTCAGGACAGAAAGATACCCGCGTTCGAAAATAAGACCTGAGCTGGAAAGATGGATCCAAGGCATTTGTTTCATCCAAATGCACCTGAAGCTGATCGGCCACCACTCTCTCAACTACTTTACTAATGAAAGAAACATTGGCGACGGGCCTATAATTGCCAATATCGTCTGCCGCCAAATTCAGTTTCTTTCTTATGCGCCAAATGAGTGTCTCCTTGGGGGTGGTGGGAACTCTGCCCTCCCGGAAAGACCCTGCAAGCCCACGAACCTTGCTTCTGGGCTGGGGTGGGGCGGGGTGGGGCGGGGGGCAGGCGCCCTTCCCTTCCTTGGAAGGCCAGAGCGCTGGACGGTGGCCCAGGAAGCTGCTTCTCTCCCGGGAACGGACGGACGCACCTGGCCTTGCCAGGCCTTACAAGGCGGGCTCAGGGTCCAGGCCTGGCAGCCCAAGCCCGCTGCCCCTTTCGCCGCCGGTTGCCTTGGCTTCTGTAAAATAATAATTTAAAAAGGACCGTTTCCTGTATGGCTGAAAAGAGAGCCTGTAGGGACCCCCCAGCGGGCCAGCCCTTGAAAAGGCAGCCAGGCCCCCTCACTTGTAAGGGGATGGCTCTCTAGGCAAACCTCTCCCCCACCTACCCAGAGCGCAAGGCCTTCCCTGGTCCTGTTGCTTTCCCTTATTTTAAAAAGCTCACAAATCTCAGGAGAGGGTGTAGGAAAGGGAAGCCCCCCCTGCAAACGTTACCCTCCAATTGCCCCTGAAATGCTTTTAAAGATGCTGAGACAACAGAGTAACTTCTGATAGCGATTAAGGTGTTACTGCTTAAACTATTCTCCTACCTGTTGCGTTACTTTTGAAATGCAGCATTCCACGCTACAAGAGTTACTTATAACTCACTACTGCCAAGTCTGGGCCCTGGGCGTCTTTCAAAGCCCCTCTGTGGTCTTTTGGCCTGACGGCTCAGGGTGCCGAACAGGAGAATTTCTGCAGCAGGCAGAAGTCTTCCCTCTGCTGCTGTAGGTTCTCTCCCAACATACAGTATATAATATAATGGCCTGCTCTGGTCCATGGGGTCACGAAGAGTTGGACACGACTTAATGACTAAACAACAACAGTATCAAGATAGGCTGGGTTTTTCTCCTCACAACAACCCTGGTAGGTAGATCACTAGGATGACCTTCATCCCTCTTGCACATGGTGGGGGGAGGGGGGAGAGGTAGTTTGCTAGCAAGTTTGTGGGGGAAATAAAGCAAACGGCAGATTTCCTAACATTCAGTTTTAGGCACCCCAGAAATCCTTCATTTTGCTTCGCTTCAGCTTCACTGGTGATAAAAATCAAACCGTTTTGAGAAATGAGATGGAAGGCGCCCCCCCCCATGGTGGCCCGTGCTCCGTAAAGCCTTGCAGGTTTCAGAGGCAACCTCTAGCTGCTTTGGGAGCAGGAGCTGGGTCTCCGCCCTGCAGGTAGGCCAGCCCTCCTGCCCCCTCCTGCCTTGCCTTTGTCAAAGGGGGAGTCCCTGGGGAGGAGGTGGGGGGAGGGGAGGAGACAAAAAAATTTCCACCGGAAAGCAAGCAAAAGTCTGCCCGTTTCCTCTTCTGTCACCAACCGTGCAAGCAAGAGAATTGGGCCGTTGTGTTGCTTGGGCAAGTTTTCATTATTCCTCAGGAGGAGAAACAGAAGCCCAAAGGGAGAGCAGAAGTATTGTGGCATCTTAAAGGCTGCAAGGTTTTTCATTTTAACCCGAATTATTTGTCTGAAGAAGGGGGTTGTAATCCACAAAGCCTCATGCCAAAGCCAACAACCTGTTATTCTTGAAGCTGCTATGAGACCTTAGCATTTCTTTTCTTTTTTTCTTTTTTTACTTTTCTCTTGTTTTTGTTGAGACTACAAATGGTTTCCATGTTGGTAGCCCTTTGCTACACCTTATGTCGGTGTTACTGTGTTTTGGTAGAGATATTTACAAATTGCATCCCTTGAAAGGGAACCACAAAGCAAGCAAAATCAGCAGTGCAGAATTAAAATAAAACAACATGATGGTGCACATTAAATCCCAAAACACTAACAGGTAGCTGATGAACAAGATACAGCTAGAAACCTCCCCCCCCCCCAACATGGCAGCCTTTGTCCAAACGAAGTACCAAGGAAGATGCCTCCCCTCCCTTCCCTAGTCGGCCTTTCAGCGAGGCAACCTGGACAGCCACTTCCAAGGTGGGACGGCCTGGTTATCCTTATTTTTCAGACAGGGAACTGAGGCTGAGAGACAGACAGGCAGACAGAGAGACCTTCTGTCTCTGCCATGGTAAGGGTGAGCACGAGGGGCATGGATTCATGGATTAAACTGCCACCCCCTTGCTGACTTCAAAGGCGAGTTGGGGCTGGGGTGGAGAAGGCTCCCCAAAATGTATGAGCCGGGTGGGGGGGCTTAAAGTAGAAAGGAAGCCAACCACTTTGGCCGCAAGCCACCTCCTGTGCCAAAGTAACTCTCCTCCAGCATTAATTGCCTGGTTGAAGTGGAGCTTCTGGCGTCTTCAGCGTTTGAGCCGTATCCTGCCCAGTGTCTTTTTCTCCACTGTCCGGTTCCAGCATCAATCAAGGGAGTCTCAGATAAACAATAGGAACCTGGCTGGTTTGGGATAAACACCTCTTCGTGGCTGAAGGTCAGGCTCTCGCCTGTTTCCTGCTCTGCTCTACTGGGACAAGCTCACCTCCTGGGGGTTTCCTGGCCTGCCGCCTGCCTGGCTGGAAGTGTCCCCAGGGAGATGAACTTTCTTCCCTGTCCCCCCCCCCCAAGGAGGCAGCCTCTCCTGGCCTCTCTCTTACCATCAGATAAAAAGGGTTGAAAAGAGGGGCCCCTAAAAGACACCGGGTGCTTGGATGGATTTCCTTGTGAAAACTCTGGTTTTCATTCAAGTGAGTTATCTGATTCTGGGAGGGCACTCCATGAAACCTCTGGTTCATGATGCGCTCCGAGGGCTGAGGAAGAGAGAGAGAGAGAGAGAGAGGAAGAAGGGCAAAAGCTGAGCTTGCCTGGGACACAGTCGGAAACAGGAAGCAAAGCCTTAGAGTCGGCCCATTCCCTGCAAGGGCATTCCTTTCTTTGGGAACAAGGCCAGGGCGTTGTCCTCTTCCCAAAGTCCCCCAAGTGTGGCCGGCACCTTGCTCCTCTTCCAAGGTCCTTTGGAGGGTGTCTGGACAGGGATTCCTACAAGGCTTCTGGCTTCTCCTGAGGAAGGAAGAGTGAATAGGAGAGGTCTTCTCCCAATGCAGAGGAAGGACAGGGATGTGGCGCAACCAGCCTGCACAGGAGTAGAGGAGGCCTTTCTTTTGGCTTCTGCCAGAGGCCATGGGGGGAGCCCAGGCGATTTGCCCTGGTTTTCATTCAAGTGAGTTATCTGATTCTAGGAGGGCAGTCCATGAAACCTCTAGCCTTGGTCCGCGAGGCAACATGGGGATGCACATCCATTATCATCCTGGCTCTGGGGACCTCAGGGGGATCTCCGTGACTGTTGCTTTCTGCTCTTTCTTGGATCCTCTCCCCGGTTACTGGGAGGCTCAGCTGGCCAGCCTAGCTGGAGCTGGCTTGGGCTGGGATGAGCCTGTCGGGCTCCCTGGCTGCCGGTCCAGCCCCTACCAAGAAAAAATCTCACACACCCCGGAGGGCCCAGGCAGGGGAGCGCTTCCTGCTGCGCTTGGATTTCAAGCGGGGCTGGCCAACAACAGATCACAGCCTTCCAGTGACCCTGCCTGCCACAGCAAGCAGGCGGTGAAAGCTGACGGGCTGGTATTTGATCCCTCCTTTGCTCACACAGGACAGGAGATTCCTATGGAAACCGGGGGGGGGGGCAAGTCAGGCATGCACCAGGAAGGGCCAAGGCTGGCCTGGGCTTCCCTTCCCCCCTGCCCCTTTCT